AAGTCTTCAAGTGCTGACACACTGCGCATGCAATGGAAGTGTCCAAGCGGTGTGCTAGCTGGCGCGCGTCCTGTGCCCTCCACTTCAGCATGGGACCCGCCTCTTCATCCTTCTCGGCAAGTCCTAGGTAAGCATGATGTGTAGCGGCGTAGCGAACACATTTAGCTTATAATATGCATCAGCTGTGTCCATCTCCCAAGCTCACCACCAGGTATAGGAAGCTCTAGGACCACCAGGCTTCCTAACCAAATGTCAGCAATGATGGAGTGCCGGCATGGTCAGGCGTGGCCCGGGTTCCTTTTTCGGGTGCAGCACAGACCGGCGGACAGGCGGACCACAACAACAACAACAACACCAGCAGAGCAGCAGCAGCAGCAGCAGCAACAGCAACAGCAACAGCAACAGCAACAGCAACAACAGTTTCAGTAATGATGTCTCCTTTGGCCAAAGGTGTTTCCTCCTGGATTGATGCAATAAACATAAGAGACACACAATTAGTGGGTTGTCTCGAAATGAAATGCCGCAATGCCAAGAAAAGGGCCCGTCTTCCACGATCAGAGTGCCTCCACTATCAGAGTGCCTTAAGCATCCTTCCAGGATTAAAACCACTTTCCAAAATGTACTCATGTCATATGTGTGCAGTCCATGTTCTTCGTTTGTAATCAATAATTGTCTCCAAACGCGAGGCTTCGTCTCCAAAATACATCCAAAAGATGCATGACAAGCTACTCTTATTCTCTTCTTCTTTGAAGTCCTCGAGCCTGCGAGCTGCCAGGATCGCCGTGGGCAAAAACTCCCATGTCGAACAGGCGCTTCCTTGAAGAAGCGCTCGCACTAGTGATATGGCTTCTAGATTTTGAGGGAAACTTAGGGTCCAGCTCTTAGCAGGTTTTAAGGGCAACTGGATGAGTGTTCTTCCTCCCCCAACATCCGATCAATCCCCCAAAAATGTTGCAAGAGACGTTGCTTCAAAGAGGTGATGCTAAGGTTTCCTCCCCAAAGCTTTCTACACAAAACCTGATTTTCAGCTGAGGTGGGGTCGACAAATTATGACAAAACAGAATGAATTGCACACACACACACTCACACACACACACATATATATATATATATTATGTCCTGCCGGGTCTACTTTAGACAGCGACACGCTTGTGAAAAACACAACGTTCTTTTTTGTTTTTACTTTTAAATGAATAGTGAACCGAATCCCGAATCATCTGGGCTGCCGCACACCGGAGAAAGTCTCTTCTCTCCAGCGCGCACACTTTCAAGCAGCACACGCTTGTTCCCCGATGGGTTTTGTAAGACGTGTGAGTGCACATGTGTACAGAAGGCATGTGCAGCGTAGCGTAGAAGAGATTCTTATGTATGGGTGTGCAATTGGAACCAAACGATGACATCCCATCCCATCCGACCAAAACCCTCGGAAGCGTGGAACAGTTCTGAAGTCGTCAATGTGTGTGACTATCATCGAACAAATATCGAACGACAAAAACAGGCGCGGTCAATTGCGCGCAATGGTCGCGCAAATGTCCCAAAAAAGACTATTCAAAAAGCAGTTACATGTGAAGATACACGTGACGTAAAGAGACTAAATTGTCTTGCACAAACCCGTCTGGATATATGTATGTATGACATATGTATATATTATGTGTATATATATATATGTATACAGCGGGCCCAATTCACCAGGGAGTCTTGATAAATGTCGTTTTCCAGCTGGCAGCTATCCGATGCATTCACCGTTGAGAAAAAGAACAGGCTTTCCCAAACACGATCTTATAAGTATATATATAGTTGGCACATCTCTGGATGCTATCTCTATGCAGGGGGTAGGTTCCTAATTACACAAACTCTTCTCGATTCCAAAGCTGAGAGAACGGTGAGAACGGTCATGCTCTTCATGCTCTGCGGGCGGTTGAGAGGGCGGGCGTTCCGGACGTTCCGGAGTTGTTCAAAATAGGACTTGACAAAAAGCGTCACGTGTGCCCGTTGGGGATGAACTTTGGGACCACTGGGAAACTCAGGTGAGCCCAGGTGACTCACATGGATCGATGAATGCAAATACTACACATCCAAACCTGCTTGAGGGAAGCATCGTGGCATCAATGCCCCACCCATCCCTTCTTCGCACCAAGGGATGCCATGCATCCCCCTCGATCTCACCGATCTCGCCTTCGCTTGGCGGCCTCTAAGGCTTCTTCCAAGCTAGCTCGGTCCTGCGATGCAATGGCACTCAAGGTATCAATGCAATGTTTTGCTGGAAAAGTCTACGGGAAATCATGATGTTTGCCCCTAGAACCATTGTTTTTCTGTGCATAGATTTAAGATGATTTAACCCTTCATCGAAGTAAGTGGAGTGCGACAGAATCTTCAATAGAACCAAGTCCTCCTGCACACTTCTGCTGCTTGTTGCACAGCAACTGCTGAAAGCTAGTCCAATATAGTATACAGACCTCTACCCTCCTACATGCACGGAACACTTGTATCTCCCCCCTCACCATCACACGCTGATTGTGCTTAAGCCGGCTGAATGAGGTCCTTTGCTCAAGCTTTTTCCTGGTTCACACGATAGTCACCAGGTCCCAACTTCGGATCTACACTCCCTGGAACTCACATGGTTACGTGGAGTTCACCACCTGTTTGTAGTGGATTTCATGGTCTTCCGAACTCGGGGGCCATGCCATCCACTTCCATGTTAGTTCCAGGGAGTGTAGATCCGAAGTCCAAAACCAAAGCCCCCCAGAGAGTGTAGCTCCCAGCTGCGTGCGTGCGCTTGACGTCGTCCACGCGTTTTCGCCGGCGGTGTGAACGTGACGCTGCGGACCGGTTGTCACAGATCGAAGGCCAAAGTGAAAGGAAACATCATACTCCCGGGAGGCTTCCTGGCCCACCAGCTGATTTAGTAGGCTGGTCATCTCGAAGCACCCTTGTTGTACTAAGGGTTTTACACTACAAAACCAGGTGAGCCATGGTGAGCCAGATTTTGATGGTCTTGGAAAGTCTGGGGTGTACCTAGTACAGGAACCTGACAAAGTCATCCCCTAGTCATTCCTTGACACTGTTTCAATGATCAATCACCATGGCAACGCTGTTTCCAAGAAGTCATCCCCCAGTCACCCCCGGGAGTGAACCCCAATGGAACGCTGATACCCAAACAACACTTATCATATCATATCATACACCGCACCTGTGCATCAACAGCAGGCGATCCTGAGTACATTAACAACCGAAAAACACAAATCCACCACGAGAAAATGTAAACCTTCCACTCATGATGAATGCCTGCCAATGCTTACATCAAGCCCTTTATGGGTTGCCAACATACAACCTAAAAGTAGGTCCCTTTCCAACCAACAGAGTTAGCTTGTGTTTGGGAAGAAGAGACGACTTTCCGCAAAGCCTTCCCCCAAGGCAGGGTAGCAATCACTCAAAAAAAGTGACGACATTGTCTTTTGCATGCATACCTATAGCTACATCTACCTACCTTCCCCGCGCTCGCTCGGACGAAAGCTCGGACGAGCCGATCCATCATGTTCCGACCTGCTTGTGTTCCGCCTTCAACTCGCTCATCTGAGCCGGAGCCGCCGTGCCGCCGTGCGACCGAAAACAGCGACTGCTGAGGTCGAAGACTAAGCTGATCCTTTGGGAAGCCGGACCCCAAAACATCACATCGAATATTCATCGGCTAAGGATGGTGATCTGACCATTCTTCGATTTGGGGACGTCGAAAGCGAAAGCCTTGTGACACGCCACATGCAACGAATGATGAATTAGGGATCGACTCTTTGTTACTAGTAGCTTCTTGTTCCTAGTAGTGATGGCGTCCTTGCTCCTAGTAGCGATGTCCTTTGGTACTAGTATAGCTTCTTGTGCTGGACCAAGGACCAATGAACATCGGAGAAATCATAGCAAGGACGCTACTAGACTAGTAGCTCCTAGCCGTACTACCAGTAGCAAGAAGCTTCTATAGGCATTTGCCGGTGCGACTGGCTGAGCTCTCGGCATCTTGAGAGAGCTGCTCCTCCTGCGTGGCCATCTTCTGCTCGTAACCGACCTCGCAGGATGCCGGTCCGGCCGAGGTTACCAGCTCGTGATTCGGATTGGTGGCCAGGCCTGGGTCGTCTTTGAGCCCGAAAGGGCAAGAGTCCGTCAAGTCCGGCCAGGCCAGGAGGCCAGGCACGACGGAACATCTGCTGGCTTCCCTGAATCATATCTGATCAGTCCAGCACTTTCTTCCAACCCGCCCGCCCGCACCGAGTGATGGACCAAATCTCTGGCCAGAGATGGCTAGGAAACCGACCACTAGTGGTAGAGACCCCCCGTGGTCGAACCCCGAACCCCTTCCGAACCAACCAGGTTGGAGGCCGACCCCCAACCAGTTTGGGATTTCGTCCCAAATCCATCACCCAAACCACCCGCGGGAGTCCCGAACGGTGTTCGAGGCCGAGTTCCGCCGTCTCCCGTCCGACCTTCCCGGAGGCTCGAACGCTTTTTGGTTCGCGTCGTGCAGTGGCCCATTCACCCGGACCATTAATACCAAGCAGTGGAACGTGGCGTGGAACGTTTTCGTTCCTCCCGGCCTTGTGCCGGCGGGTCAGGACCAATTGGTGGGTTGGTGGTTTGAACATCTGGGACTTGATTCCCCACATGTACAGGTTCCAACTTGCATTTCAGGCCTCAGAATTCCTACCACCAACCCACCTGGCCACCAGGTTGGAAATGTATTTGTTGACAGCCTAGGGGAGGGATCACCCGTACATGTGGCATCCCAGAGTCCCACCAACCCAACCAAAAGACACCTGAAATCAGAGGGAACAGCTTCTGCCAAACGATGTAAGGACTCTTGACACGCTCCAGTAGCAAACTCGCAGTGTCTAGGACTATACTCTTGGTGCTTCAGATTCATATTTTACATATATATATATATATATATGTATATGGATATGGTGTGTGTGTGTGTAAGTATATTTAAGTTGTCATAAAATAATGACCAACTCCCATGATCAACCTGTATGCCCTCTTGCTTGTCGGTCTCATTTCGAAGCGGCCCCAAGGACTCACGGCCTCCATATCAGAGAGTTGACTTAGGAGTTGCTGCTTCTCCTCCACTTCGCCGACATCGCCGAACACTCCACTATCCCTACGTCGCTTCTGGTGCCCGGTACGGGGTGCCCGGACCAACGATCCGAATCGCGAGAGGGGGTGGAGACCCCCTCAACACACAGCTGGTGTCTGATTAAGTCACTAGACCAAGGGAAACCCCTCAGTTCGACCTCTAGGGAAGATCAAAAACACACGAAGATCCATTGGTTGGAGGTCCCCTCCTCTTGAAAAACCCAGGTGATTTCCGTTGGATTCCATGCGAGAACGGTTCTGCACGCTTCTTCTCTTTACCTGCGAAGAAGAAGTTGCCTCCGAAGTCACTGGGCCCGCTTTTTGAGGTCATAGTGTGCAGTGACCACACCGGAAGGCCTACCGGAAGGCCTCTGACTTCTCCAATCGAACCCAAGGCAGGGAAGGGTAGGCAAGCCTGGCAAGCCCCTACTCCACAAGTGATGTGCTCGAAAACAGTGCTTGAAAGTTCGTGAATTTGGGCTTCAAGACACCTCCCAGGCACAATTCGAAGATTGGCCCTTTCGCTCAGAACCCAACTGGTCCAGCGACACCTGCAGCACCCAGCACTGCCCAACACCCATCCCAGACATCTCCAGGCATATGGCTGTCACCTGCGGACCAGTTGAACCACTGAACATGAACAGAATAGATGGTTGAACACCTGGGCAACCAACCTCCTCTCTCTCGGGTGATTTCCGGGCACCCCGAGAGGAGCCCCCGGAGCCCACCGCCATGGTCCCACCCCTTCGTCTCACGAGCTTCGTCGTGACTCGGCGCTCCTTCTGCGCCGCGGCAGCGTTCTCCTCCATGTCGCTCCTCACCTGGCGGGCTTTCGTTCGGCGCCGAAGGACGAGCCGCAGTTCTCCGGCCGCAACAGGTCGGGGGCCCAAACACCAGCCTCTCCCACCGTTCCATCCACGGTCACTCGCACCATTGAAACACGGGGTCACCTCGCAGACATCCCATCAAACCCGACGGTTCCCTCGTAACTCGACGGACCGAAGAAGCCCATCGCGTGTGTGCTGGGCGTGGCTTGGGCTCAGGAGTTGGTGCCTCCTCCGTGCTGAAACCTTCAACTCGTATGAGCTCGCGGCTAACTAAGCCTTCGTCGCATGGACAATTCCATGTGTTCCAAGCCCCCCAACGGATTTCAAGACAATTTTTACTTTCAAAAACCTCAGGGCTGTAATTTTGTTAGAGCTCTGCACCCATCACAACATACCACAAGCACATGCGCTCACCGTACCTGTTCCAATTCCTTCTTGGCCAGGTCCAGATGTGCTCCAAGCGCATCCCGCTCGTGTTCGATGGCCGTGCGCTCCTCGCTCCCCCCTTATGGGGCCACAGGGCAGCTTGAAACTCTTGATGAATCAAATCCCCCCAATTGGGGATCCAATTGGGCGGTGTTGGGGATCCAATTGGGCGGTGAAACCCCTTAGCTTGATGTAATTCTAAGATCATTGGGCACCCCAACTAAGGGCACCTCCGATGGGCACCCGTCTCTCTATTGGCGCCGCCGCCACCCAAGCGGTCACCGTGGGGCGATGGGTTCAGACGAAGAGGTCGCCCACCATCCATGTCCGTGGGGCGATGGGTTCAGAGGGGTTCGATGGCGTGACACATGTCATGCATGAGTGTCATGAAGCATGAATCATGGTATGACTCTAGATTCTTTTTCACCCGTCCCATTTGGATTGGAAAAACGTCCTTCAATAGGGTGGGTTTATTAATCGAGAGCCTACATTACAACTTGCAGAAACCAGAAACTGAGCCAGTTTCACTCACCAAACAACCTCCAAATGGGTCGCCAAACAGTCCTTCTCCAAGAGTTCGACCTTTTCCGAGATCTGCAGATCGGGTGCCGACAGGCCGTGGCAAGGAAAACAAGCCCAAAACGACGCTTTTCCCTTGGAGATGGGTCCGTTGTTCGGGAAACAAGTTGGTTTGGGGGAGCACGGGTATGTTACCAGCAACTTACAAGTTTTGTTGGGAACTAGGACAGCCACGGCTGCCACCACAGCCAATGGGAAGAATTCTGGATTTGCATCTGGTCTCCCAAAACGATCTCAGCCCACGTTGCACCCTCACAGGTTGTTGCAGCATGATGCAACTGCTGCGCCATAGGAGACCAAGTATCAGCTTGGGTTGGTGCGCTTCTTGGGGAGGTGCCTTGTTATATATGCGCCACATGCAATGATTGTGTTTTGGGCATGCAATCGCATGCAAACAACAAAGCGGGAAGCACTCTATCCTATCAAACCATGCACACGCACACCTATATGTATACAGACACGTATTCGCACATATGTAACAACATGTTGATATATTGGATGTTCTTATATAATCTCATATACATGTTCTTGGCACATTCTCAGAAAGAAAGTCTTGGGTACATGCACACTTGCAAATTTCATGAGGGTCCTGTGCTAGCATGTCATTCACATCAGTGATAACATGTGATAACATCAAAAACCTAACTCTCGGCTTACCAAGGCTTACCGGAAAAAGTATCAACACAGGTCACGTGGACAGTCGGCATGCTGGTCACATGGCTGCCAACCCCAACATCCTCTACGAACGGACTCTCTGCCTTGTTGTGAGGCCAAAGAAGCAACCCCCGCCCCACTGAGGCCCTGAACTGCTTGGTGGGTTCAAAGCTGGCAGCTGGCAGCTGGACCATCAAAATGATCGCTTAAGTAGACCACCACCCAGATCTACATTTACATGTTTCAAGGGGGTAGCGGTAGAGAATGGACGGATTGATGCCCCAAGCCCGGGCTGCCCCACACATCCAGAGAGCTCGCTTTTCAGTCAATCACCACTTCAACCACCCTCACGATCGTTGAGGGAAATCCCATCTTGGGTCATCCATGGGGAAAACCCATCGCCGTGTCGAAAGCAGCCCGACCTCCAAAGCTCGCTGCGCCTGGGCGCGCGAATAATAGCGCTGGCTCCGTGTGAGCGCAGGCTGCGGAGCGAGCGAGACCAGAGCTGGCTCGGTCGGTGTGTTCAACAAAGAAGTGCAGTCCTGTCGAAAAACCAAGTGGACATATTGAACTTAGAACATGTTATGCTAAGCAGGACTCTTGGGAAAAAAAAGACACACATGAAATTCGACGCCCGATTCACCAGAGTCTACTACAAGAAAAGAACGAACAAGGCAGCAAGGCCACAAGGCCCCCTTCACGCTGCCCATCTTCGGCCATCCACCTGAACCTGAAGACCCAGGATCCCCAACGCTTTCGGCTTTCACTTGGGTGATTTGACCTCAGGGCGGACGGTCCGGCGGAACCGCCATCCAAGAGGGGCAGAACGTCGCCAGTGATTTGACCTTGGTGGTTTCAGGTGGGTTTTGTGTGGTTTTTCACCGTGGCCCAGTGCTCAAACACCTTGGCACTCGGCCCAGGTCGAAAAGGCACCGATTTTTGGGGTAGATCCCATGCCCTGCAGCAGTGGATGATGCATCATTGATGGTTTGGTCAAGGCCTTTCTTCTAACATAGTGACACTTGTTGACCGACTGCTCCATATAATAGGAGAGTTAATAGCAGATCCCTTTTAGAAGGGAATCTCTGGGATGTGAAAAAGCCGGGTCCCATGGATTGGGTCTGGGGGCTTTTTTCGTTCGGTCCTCGGCATCGAAGCCGGGCTGTGCTCCAGGCCGGTGAGTTCTGCTTCAGTGGCTCGTTGGGCTTCATGGGCCTGGCGATGCCACCAAGCACTACGGCGGAGAGAACCGAACAGTTAGGTCAACAGTGGGAGAATGGGTCTCACCCACCGCATGGATCAGGTCTGGAGTAGTCGTTTTTAGGTGATGCGGTTCCAACACATCAAAAGCCAGAGCCTTTCAGGTCCCGAAATGGCTTGTTTCAAAAGTTCGCTCAGCTCGAGATGAGGCGGCGCTCCAGCCTATCTCGATGCTGGCGCCCAGATCTCCGGTGGTTCCCCAACTCTTGCCTGGTCCAACTCTTGTTGCGTGAGGTCCAAGTGTTGTTGTAGAGCATCTCGCTCTTCTTCCACCGCCTTCCGCTCCTGCACCCGTACGGCCCAGGAGTTGGGCAACTCCTCTCAAAGGCCTCCCCCAGTGATGCTGTGTCGCTGTGTCTGGCGAAAAGAACTGATGCAAGACCAACCCAACCGGGGGAACCCGAGGTCTACCATTCTGGCCGCCCCTGGCCGCTCTGATGGGCGAAGGTCAAGTTTCCAACGTTAATTCCCAGGGTCAATGTTAGTTTTCGGGAGTGTAAGAGGCATTTACACGTCGACTTCACATGCATATATAGCAGTGGACCATGGGATCCCGCATGGCCCGTTTCCATCCTTTTTTCCGCAGTTTCCCTGGAAAATCGATAGGAACAAATATGGGACACTCTCCCTGCAACGAACTTAAAAGTGGAAAACCCCCGGTTTGTAGAGGATCATTGTCTTACATTCAGGTGAGTTCCGGAGAGTGTATCGGCATAAAAATCGTAGGTGAACTCGTGAACCCCTGACCAGCTGCTGATAGTGTGGGGTCGCCTGACCGGATGACCCCACACTATACGCATAGGATCGCATAGGCTACTTATAGGTCTCCGTTCGACACGCATTGGAAGCGCTCATGTGGGTTTCAACAAGGACAGACTTGATGCAACAAAAGCGTGCTCATGTGTGTTCATGAGCAGTGCTGTAGCATCTGCGATCCATCTTCTTGCATTCTTCTTCTGGTCGTACTGCCTGCATTAGAAAACACTTCTGCTGTCACTTTCCCCGCGGTCCTTCTCCAAAATCGTCACCTTCTCTGCGTTCTCCGCATTCAACTTCTCGATCTGCGACGGGCCAACCCAGCAAGCAAGCCGCAGCAATGCGCAAAAAGTATGTTGTGCCCGTTTACGCCACACGGTTCACCTTCAAAAGCATTGCATAGGGCGTTTGGTTGTGACAGTTTCGGCTGATACCAGTGCATGGCAACATGACTGATCCAAAACTGTTCCAGAGCGATTCGTGCGCACCAATGTTGAACAAACGGTCGGCCAAAACACCCCGAGGACAAGCACCAAACACAAGAGTGCAAGTTTCAAACAAAACGCAGCTTAATCAACAACCGATTGAATCTGAGTCCTGCAACCTGTAGGCACAACACTACAAAAAAACGACCAACAAATAGCAAGACACCAAACGACCTGGCTTCGTCCAAACTCCCAAAAATCTCCAAAGTACCGGCTTTCCAGCAGAAGAAAAGATCACCGGAACTCCTTGCCTTCTGTTCCAGCTCCAAGACTTTGGTTTGATGCCACGTCTCCAGGAACCCCTCAACATCGATCGGTCCAGTGTTCTCCAGGTGAGTGACTGCGTTTTGGTTTGGCAGCGCACCAATGAGGCGTTGGCTTTGATCTTCTATCCCAAAACCAAGTTCCCGGGTTGGTGCTCAAATTTAGGGCGACCGACCCATCTAGCGATTGTGATTGGGGGATCTCTCTTGACTTGAAAAAGTCCCTTCCAAGGTCAGGGCTGTCCTTGGGCTCAGGATGATGCCTCTGCAGGGTTCCAGTCCATATCTGTTACATGTGGACCATGGCCCCGAGTCGACTCGGACCACCGAAGGCACTCGGCTTGAGACCTTTGACTCGGCGCTTCGTCCCCCGAAGCCCTTCAAAGGTCCCGCGCGGCGAACGCGGGGACGCTCGGACAAGGGTCGGAGCCAAATTGGTTCATCATGTCCAACAGAGGTTGAAGGACCGTATAGACTATCCCATAGGTATCCCAGTAGGGCCCTATAAGGTCACTCAACCTCTCTTGGGTCGTGTCCGTCCTTTTTGTAGGCGTCGCGGAACGATTCGAAACCCTTAAATGTTTCAGTAGAGGGTGGAGGTGGCAGTTCACTACCAAGGTGTGATGCCTCGCGTGATCCACGCCAAGTGGCGCTTTCTTCCCGAAGTTCCGCCAGCTGGCCTTGCCGCCCGACGTGCGAGTCGCGGTCCAAGCCGCAGCCCGGTTTGAGTAGCGGAACATAGCGGAACCCCTTCCAAAGACGTGAAAATTAAAAACCTCGAAAGGATTCGAAAGGTGCCTTTTCTGGAACCTTTTGGAGGCACCAAGCTATGAACATCCATCCTCATCCCTCATCCATCCTCATTCCCTGGAACCTCCGCCCCCCAGAGCTCGAACCGCGCACGCAGCATCACGCCGCTCTCCGCTCTCCGCTGCGCTCCCCGGCGCTGCAAGTCCGCTTCGGCAGCACGGTGGCTCTGGAGCACCTGGCGACGGAGAAAGCGAGGCGAGCGACCTGGGGCTTCATGTACCAGCAGCCGACTCTACAGGTCTCCGAAATGGAGCGACCAGTGGCGACCTGGCAGGTCCTGGCAGGTTTCGGGTGCTGGTAAGTGTAGAATGGATTGAGAGTAGATGGCAATATGATGGCAGAAGTCCCAAAAAGGTTGTGCATTTGGAACCCCATCTTTAAAAACAAACATGGATATGGGTTTGTGATGGTTTGTGCCATCTACCCTGAAAGCACTGTAAGCAGAAACGTGAGTGGCTTGAAGCTTGGAGATGCCTTGGGGCTGGATCTACTTGTGACCCACACACTTGTGCCACACACAAAACAGCACAGTTGCCCTACAAATCATTCAAACATCCTTAACTTTGCCTGGAAATCACTGGTTTAGGGGGTTTCGTCTTCGGCGTGTGGCCCCCCGACCTCATTGAGCTCCTTCTTGGTGTGCTCACAGCTGTCCTGAAGCTCGTCTCGCTCCAATTCGATCGCTCTTCGTTCCTGAAAGCGGCTCAGAGCACCGGGGATCGACACCTCCATCGAAACCGGTATATATTGGGCATATCCTATTACCAGGACCCAGTTGACCCCAAGAATTCCAGGGATTCGTCTACATGACCAAGGGTTGGGTATAACCCATGTACCAGTAAGGGCCCAGTGGATGAGGATGAGGATGAGGATGATGATGGGGCCTAGTTGCAGGCTTTTCGATCTAGGAAAAAATGGATGTTCTGGTTTACCGACTGTTACGGGTAATGGGACAGACCCAATGTATATACCTCAAACCTGAGTGACCTATTTTGAACCATCAACCACCCAAAAGGTCTTCTCCTATCAAAACAGTGGTCAAATGGGCTCTAGGAGTGTGTTATATATATAGTATTCTATATACATATATCTCTGTTATCCAGCACACTTGGGGAGGATCAGGGAGTGGGGCATAAATCATCATAATCGCAATCCATGGTACGTTCTGAGGATACGAAGAACTTACAGTAACCATCAGCAACCAATGTTTAAAGGAAACCTTGCTGGACTTCGATCATTGGCAATCACTGCAAAAAGGTATTGAATTTGAACCACTACTTTGAGCCACTGGCTATAAACTGTACTCATGGAAGTGGAACACCGCCTGTTTGCAGAGGAAAATGGTCATCCAAGGGGCCATCCCATCCACTTCCATTCCATGATTATTCCGAGTGTACCCCCCAGCTTCCAGCAATCTGAGGGCCCTTCCGTTGTGCTTTTTCGCTTGCCAAGCATCGGCCGTGAGGCTGTCAACGTTGCTCGTGAGCTCTTGCTTTTCTTCATCCGCTGTTTGAATGGCTATCTCCAACTCAAATTGCCCTCAGCTGGCCCCGTCGCCCATCCAAAATCCATCCGAACATCCGGAATCCGGAACCCGGGACAATGACAGACCGGTGGCACGTTTGGACCGGTCGCGCGGGTGATTCATGTACTTGGACTGGGACTCTGGATTTATAAAATCCCCCCAAACATGGATTGAAGAACCTCTTCACCTGGGAGGCTTTTTGCTCAAGAGTATACACATCTACATGAACATGTTCACTGAAGCCGGACTAAACCTGCGCTGCATGTCATGCACTGGAGGAGAAAAAAGAGAAGTTTGTTTCACTCACATGTGAAAGACTCACGAAACACTCATGAGTTTCACATGTGCCCATCAGCCACTGCCCAAACGCGCTCCAAGCCAAGACCGGATCCGGGTCTCTCAGTCGACATGTCGCAAAGGCCGACACGTCGTAGCTTTTTGAGGTTCGGGGTGGGTGCCAGGAGGCTTCAGTCATACCGAACCTGAGGAGGTACGACTGGAGGTGTGCTGCAAACCTGCCACATAGATATGGAGGCCACAGGAATATCGACCATCAACCTAGCGTCGACTTTCATGCTCAGCTCGTTTCCTTCAACCCCAAGCTCCTCCATGCTCAGCTCGCACGTTTAAGTGGTGGATGTTTGACGGTGAGAGCCGGAGCCAAGGGTCGAGTGTAGGCATCCTTGAGGTTCGTCTCCTGCCGTCTGGTCGAAAGTGGTGGACTTTGGGAAGCCCAAAAGAAGCAACTCTGACCATGTCGACATGGGCCACTGTGGATCCATAGGGGGTCAGTGCTTCACTGGCACACACTTTTCTGGAAAACCTGGGTTTCGTGCAGTCATTCCAAACCAGCTGGTATGCAACGCGGGTGTGTGAGTCGAACAGTTGCAGAAAGCACGCTAGTGGCCGCAGGGAATAGTTACATTTCTTTACCTCATGCATGACCTAACGTAAGTGACTCAAGTAACTTAAGTCTTGCAGTGAGTCAAAACAGGGGGGGCCCTCATGTTGACCACTGACAATGAACACAGATTCCCAAGCAGCTCAAGGACTCAAGGACCCAGGTTTTTGGGCAATTCCAGATTGTAGTTCCCCACGGGCCCACTTCCTGCAGCTGTACCTTCTCTGAGCTTTTCTGCAGCTCCTCGCTCGCACAGGAGGGCCACGCAGCAGTGACGCAGAGTGACGCCGCGTCGCGCGGGGTCAGCAGGCACCAGTTGTCCCATAAAGGGAAGCACGGCCCAGGGCAGCATGGTCCGAAAGAATGACAACAACGGTCCCACCAGTCCTGGTTTCATGGTTTCATGAAATCCTGTGATGAAACAGATGGAAACCACCGACCAAAGTAGACACAAGTATAGACTACACCATCTGTCCTAAAACTTCAATGAATAAGAGGATTCTGGCGATTACGGGCGGTTCCCAGCTTTCAAGCCCACGTCCGGAACGCTCTAAAACGTTTCTGATTTGGAGCTTCAACAGGTTCCAAGAGCATGGAGAACGAGATCCACTGGTCAATCATCGTGCACTTGCGTTGCTTCGTTGGTGCCCCCAGTCCCAACCAAATGCTTTTGTTGACCCAAAGCAGGGATAGCAGGTCCGTCGTCGCTGCGTGACCCAGCTATGCGTCTTTTTGCGGTCGAACTCATCTTGGCCACGCTGGGTAGCTCTGTGGAGAAAAATTAACACTTTTGGGATCGTTAACGTTATCAGCCATAGCCTGTGAAGCGTTGCCAGGTGCCGCCACAAACAGGTGATGACAGATGTCAAAGGAACTGTTGAGAAGCCCCTCCTGGGGAGCGGGGCTGACATACTAAGGCGATCGACGTCCAACGAAGCCACAAATTCGCAGCTTCTCCTGCTGAAGTTCTTGACGCCTGAGATTCACGAGCATGGTTCAGGCTTGTAATGATCTCAAAGATAGAATATGATAGAATTATGATAGAATATGTCCTTGAACTGCTTCTCCAAAATCATCTTCAATGACTTCTGTCTAATCTCAAAGTTCCAAACTTGCAATGTCACTGCGAGGGCGTGAAGAAAGGGAAAGTTCTTCGGGGCTTTCTGTTGAATATTGTTGAATCTAGTCTACTAGTCCAACATAGCTACAGCTGCAGCATGCTACAGTTTCCTCTGCCCAGCTTGGAAGGCTTGCCGGCTTGAGAAACGAAGGTCGCCCCAAACACCCGCCCACCTGCGGCATCCGATCCACTCACCAGTTCTACTCCACCGGGTGACGGTGGCGGGTCGATCGACGACTTCAACGTGTGGATGTGCCAAGCTGCACCCGTTTGGATTGGGGATCCAGTCGTAACGAACCTCAGGTTCGGTACGACTGGACCCTCCAAACCTACAGAACAGTGTCTCCAATCATGAGATCTTCCGAGAAGGTACTTGGGTCCCTTAGGATTGAAGATCTTGCGCCAAGGATGGCCAGCTGGGCGTCCCAAGCTGCTCCTCAAGCTTGGCAGCTGCAGCAGCAGCTTCACGCCTGCGTATTGTGATGGTTTTGGCCCATCGCGCAAACCCACCTCCCATCACATTTAGAAAAGGAACGTTACTACGTCCAAGTGTTGAACCCAACAGACCGGTTGACCCAGCCGAAGGACCTCCATGATGCCTCGCAAGATGAAGCACTACCCTGCTTTGAAAAGAAGAGTCACAAGCATTGTAAAGTGCTGGTTCATGAACACATGAAGCCGTCAACGCCATCTATCAATCCCGATGACCGTCATCAGCACGTCCGAGCTCCCGTGCTGGGCGTCCTCATGCTGCTGTTGCATCACGGCCACCTGGCAGGGACGGCGAAACGATGAACCTGTAACCTAACACCACCCCCCACAAGCTCCTGGATCTTCAAGCAGCTCAATTCTTTGAGGTCCCAGACCCTTTAGGCCACCAATGAGTCTTTTTCCAGTTCTACAACACACGTGCGCCCGGTGCGCTTCGCACACACAGCACGAAGTCGGCCTTGGACGCGAAGTCGGCCTCGGCTTGTCGACCTTGGCTCTCGATTCAATCCAAGGTCCTAGTGCCCTCCATTTTTCTGACCCCTCAGTTTCCCTGGAGAATAGGAGATGGGAACCGATGTGGGCTGGAACTCACATGGACGTAGAGTGGAGTGAAAACCCCCTAGTCGAGGTAGGTGGGGGATTTGGTTCCTGTCGGCCGCATTCATCCGCATGCCCCCTTTCCTTGCCAAGCGTCTTTCAGCAGCACTTGAGGATTGCAGTTCTTCTTTTGCCAGCTGGGTCTGGCAGCGGGCGAGTGGCAAAGCCAATGTTAGAACTGCTTTCAAGTCTTTCCGGATTTGCTGCCTTGGGTGATCGTGCCAAGGAATTTGAGGCCATGCTGGGCCATGCTGGGCCAGCAAAGCAACCCCGCAACATCCAAACTACTTCACACAGCTCCACACTCACCTCCTTCAGCAATCCTTCGATCCGCTGCTTCTCCTGCTTCTCTGCTTCCAAAGCCTCAGCTCTGAAAAAAAAGAAGGGACCAATCACTGGCCCTTCTGCGACGAAAGGGAACACGAATGGACTTCAGAACCAGCTTGCAATAGTGAGAACCGACTTGATGGAATTTATATACCGGATCTGACTGAGACTCAAACCAAGACCTTCTATATAAAGTAATCTTTCTGCTTCAACAAAGGGCTTGGCCAACAGGTAAACTTGCCTGGCCAAGTGACTGAATCGGTTTCGGCAAGCTGCGTCTGCAGCTGTTGCGCTTCAGCTCTGCCACGCTCACGCTCATTCTCCAATTCCTGCCGGAATTGACTACAGTGATTACAGTGCGGAGAGCACTACCCATTGCCATCCAAAAGATGTTCTAACAAACATGCTTCTGTCAAGACGTCAGTCATGCAGTAGCAGAATTCATCAAAATTAAGCATTGGGAGTAGCCAGGTGCAGGGACTGAGACCAAGTTCTAAAAATACCTTTCTAGAAGATGCTAGAAGTTGTTTCAATGAAGGGCCCAGCAATACTAAGTCGATCAACGAATCAACACACTGAAGAAACTAAAACATGTTTGACCGTGTGGAGACCAGTTTCCACCCCGTTTGCAGGCCGCCATGCCAAACGCCAAAACGGTGAATGAAGAAGTTGCCCCACTCAGGGCGTCGGCTCGACGCCTTGGGACCTCCCCGGCAAAGCAGAGACACCCGGTCCTTTTGAAGTTCTTTGTGCCTGGGATTGGGCACCAGGACCATTTGGGGCGCCAGGACCGGTAGAAGAGAGTCAATGATATCATGATTTCAGGTGGATCAAATGTCAAGAGTGATGGTGAGGAGACTCAGGAAGGGAACTGGTTGTGATTGACATGTTCTGCATACGTACTGCCATCCTGTGGCCAACTGGGCTTCCCCAGCTGCTCCTCAAACTTGGCGGCTGCAGCAGCTGCCTCACGCCTGTGTTGCAAAGCGTCTCCGTGTCCAATCACAACACAAGGAGCCTGGAACCTGGAACCAACGCTCTCAAATCACTTGTCTCGATGCCGTACGCGTACTGCAAACTGCCCAAAAAAGCCATAGGAAATCGCGCGCCTCACAAATCCCAAAGGGAAGAGATAGATGAGATAGGAGATATCCAACATTGTCAGTCTAGTGGATTGAGAGTAGATGGCATGGGTATCCCGAATCGGTGGGGTGTCTGAACGAGACCGTCAGTCTCGTTGGAGCGACAAGGAGGAGGAGCCCAACTGGCCCTTCTCATCTCCAGCGCCACTGGGCGCCCCAACTGGGTGTCCTCATGCTGCTGTTCCATCGCGGCTACCTGACCCATCGGGAGGCTCCCGAGTCAACTCACGTGGACCCTGACTGTCTGGGCCCCTGGAAGATGGTCCCCAAGCAGTGGGAACTTCAGGGTCCATGGGATCGTCTGCCAGGGTGTAACTACAGCACATGGATGACGCTGCGAGAGAGATCACTGCCCCAAGAATGTGTCTTGCTTTCACTCCAACTGTAATGCCAATGTAGCTATTGCACTTCTCCATTCGTCGTCGTCGTCGTCGTCGTCGTCGTCGTCCTGCAAGCATATTCTTTGCCCACCATGCAGGGGCCTTCGCTGCAAAGTCAACCTGCGCTTGTTGACCTGCAGAGAGGTGCTCAAGTTGCCCGCTCTCTCGCATCTTTTCCATAAGGCACTTGTTACTAGTAGCGATGCACTTGTTTCTAATAGCTTCTTGTTACTACTAGTAAGGTACCTGTCTAGCGTGGCACTTGTTTAGATCATGTACTAAACAGTTTGTTGTGACACGCGCCGCACGTGCCGACAGATCTGTGATCCACAAAACGCACAACAAAACTTGGCGAAAACTGTTGGGGGCCCTGAATATCCCTGAATTCTCTGACACGAAAGCTAGTGAAACCGAGGGAGTCGAGGCGAGTCGAAATCGTCGAAATCATGGCCCAGCGGCGTTCAGCAGCACTTGAGGATTGCAGTTCTTCTTTGGAGAGCTGGGTCTGGCCGGGCACGGCAAGCGTTTAGAAGTCTACACCCGGGAAGAGACCCCCATACAGTAGAACCTGAAAATGGACCTGCAAGGAAGGCTAGTTTCCTCAACAAGCCAGTGGTTTGCAGGTTCCATATGGGTCTCCTCCAGGGCGTATACAAAGCCTTGGAATGCTGGGGCTCAGCAAATTTGTTTCACTGCAGTTCTCAGATATCTATTTCTTTGCTTCCTGAGGTCTCTCAGAGTGCGCTGAGATACTTTTGGCCGGCGATGCTGGAAATTCCAATGTTCGGAACGTGACACATTCAAGCCACGAACGACCTCCTTCAGCAATCCTTCAATCCTCTGCTTCTCCTGCCTCTCTGCTTCTAAAGCCTCAGATCTGAACAAAAAGGGACCAATCACAGCCCCGCTGCCGCCACACGAAAAGCTCGGCAAATGATTCAACAATGATCAACCTATGGAATGCAACGGAATGTATCAAAGGATGTCAAAGGCCAATCCAATCAAATTATCATCCAAAAAGCCCAAAGACCTTTTAAGTATCTTCACAACCCTCTAGTGAGTCTAGTGTAGCAGAGCGCCCTGCCCAGGGTCGTCCGGCCAAGTGGCAGAGTTCGTTTCCGCGAGCTCCGTCTGCAGCCTCTGCTCTTCAGCTCTGCCACGTTCACGTTCCTTCTCCAGCTCCTTCCAAAAGCGCTTGACATGCGAAAGAGCAGTTAGGATCTCTCGGATCTCTCGCAAGTACTATGCTATCAATCTTTGGGAATCCTCTTTTGGATACCGGATCTTGCCTGAAATGGCCACTGGATCACCTGATGCACTAGTAGATGTTATGATGTTACCATGTTTTGCCCATGAAGCATTTGGGGGTATTACTTTGACTTGGGTGTATCCCATTCCCTGCAACAATGGATGGTTCAGTTACAGGCCTTTCAGGCCTTTCTCAGAAACAGTTATCTTTTTTCGAACGACTGTTACAGGTTGCCTGGGGCACACACGAGGTCACTAGGTATTGCTTACGTGGTCTGTGACACGACGCTTACACCTGCAGGTTGGATAGCATGTGGGCAACATCGGATGGCGAGTAGGACGTGCCGTTTCCACCCCCCCACCGAGCGGAGGACATAGACTACCCTGAGAAGAAAGACCCGTTAAAAAACATGTTACAGTAGATGTTACTAGTAGTTTCTTGTTCCTAGTGGCGATGGCCTCCAACCTAATAGCGATGGCCTCCACCTAGTAGCTTCTAGCTATACTAGTAGCTTCTTGCAAAGCACATAGACCCGCTTCAAACAGATCTTCCATGAGATTCTCATGTTCTGCAAGGGGAGTTTGGTTCAGAATCTCATGGCATCTGGGCGATGTCCAGCGTGACGACCATTCACCTGTCCAGTGACTCGTTTCGACCGAGACTGTCCCACCCAAGTCCTTCTGAAGTTCTTGCCTCCTGGGATGATGGGATGTGGTGGCATGTTCCGCGCCGGGAACCGCGGAACATCAAAGACTTCACCTAGGCAATGTTATTGAGTATTAGGTGTGTGTATTGACAGTTGCCCCTGAAATGTGCGTCAGTGTCGTCCGCATTGCCACGCTCGCAGCCGGAGATGCGTGGGGCTCATGGAACCTATGTGAAGAGCCGGACCCCCGCCCTGTGCAGAGCATGCCAAGAGGCCAGGCTGAAAGGCCTAAATTTAAGGTCACCCTTGTGAAAACATGAGACGGCACTCCAATCATAGCCTTTGCATCAAACCATCAAACCCAAGAGTGTAAAACATTGCCTCTCCACTGACTGGTACACTCTTGGACAGTTCCTCATGAGAGCAGGATGGGGCTGCTGCACTGCTGCGCCCATCTGAAGATCTCGTGCCATCCGTTGGCAAACTGGGCGTCCCGAGCTGCTCTTCAAGCTTGGCGGCGGCAGCAGCTGCTTCGTGCCTGTCTTTGCGAAACACTGCTTCACCCCGTGTCGAAGCACAGTACCAGGGGAGGAGCCCAGAATACAGGGGCACCCCCAACAGTTACCCAAACCGAGTGCTGAGAAACCCCTTTCCATGGTGCCTTGAAACTCACAGTTCAAGAATTTGATAGAATTTGCGTAGTGCAACAAAATGCCAATCCCATAGTTTCTTGTCCAATCTTGCTCGTCACTTGCTACAATTTGTATACTTGCCACAGATGTTGAAAAATCCAGTGAACACGCCAAGTCAATTGACACTCATGCCCATGCAGCACCAGGGACCCCGGCTGGGCATCCTCATGCTGCTTTTCCATCACGGCCACCTGACCAATGATCATGTGGCAAAAAGGTCATGAATCTTGTCTTCGCATGTCTTCGCTCCCACCTCAATCCAGGAAAATGAAGCCCACCTCTACTAATTAACTGCTGGAGAATCAACGACAATATTTGTTGCCCTCGGTGCTGCGGCCTTTGCCGCAAAGTCCGCCTGCGCTTGTCGACCTTTGTCCGCTCAGAAATGCTCAAATGCCCCCGCTCAACGGCACAACATATCACAAGGGTCATGAGACCGCATAACATTTTGAGGGCCAGGAATGGATAGACGCTTTGGAAATCAGTGAGAGGGTTGAGCAGAGTTGAATCCTTACTTCATACATCTTCATGCTCATGTTCGCCACGCTGCATTTCCCTTTCCTTGC